GTGTGGTGAAGAAGACAGCAGTGAATTAACACCACAGAGGGAAGAGAAGGACCACAGCTAATCAATACAGAAGTCAGTGAAAACCCATGAAGCATTTGAATTGAGATACAAACAGAATCTCTGAACATCCTGAATGATGTTACATCAAGATACTGATGAGCCTCTGCAACAAATCATACTGAACAAGATTCCTACCAAGGATTTTATGTAATCAGTGTCCATAACGTCTCAAAGACATAAAAAGTCCGAGTGTTCAAACTGTCATAATGAAAGATCAGAACCCCAAAGTATAATGGACATGTTTATCTTTTAATTCCAAAATGCATATTTAAATGAGAACTACCACAAACAAAAAAAAGACAGTTTATGTAAATTCAATGCTGTCTGTAAAGTCTTTGAGTACAAGTGTGAGAAGGTGTGCCAGCCAGGTTCAAGCGCTAATATACTGTGAAAGGTTACTGTCAAAGGTCCATCACTAGCCACCCCTGCGTTGCAGGTAAAATGATTCTCTCACTTCAAGTGCTAGAAGCAACTTACCAGCAAGCTAATTGGAAAAAAACAGGGCAAGAAGGGTTCTTTTGTTCTGAGTGCTGCCAACTCATCAATCGCTAAAGGAAACAAAGTAAACATATTTCAACCAGCCCACATCTGAAAATAATGGAATGCTGAAAGAAATTAGAATTGGAGAGAAACGATACATGAATAATTCAGAATCTAGTGGAAATCGATCAGCAGGGATGAGTCTTGATAAGAACTTGCCAGACACTTGCTGATTAAAACAGGAGTGTGTCAGGGATGAGCCATTGTCATTAAACATCCAATTCAGATGGAAAGACTAGTGAGGAAGTGCTGGAAATGGACGGAGAAAAGAGGAAATTAGTGTCTCATATCAAATTCCGAAAGGCACAATCTCGAGTAACATTTAAGCAGAGGGTAGACAGAGATGATGACTGCAATGGAAGATCAATGGTAAATATTGAAGAGGGAAGCAGAGGAGAAAGGGGCTGAGGGGAGTAATGGACTAGATGCCAGATACCTGTGGGGCAAGTGTAAGAGCACATGAGATACACAGAGGGAGAGAAGTCAACTATCTGGAAAGAAGGTGACACCAACTAACAAACAAATAAAGGCAAACTAGGACATCTAATCTGCTCAAGTGGCAGTGAGTGGGTTTAGGAATTGTTGAGGGTTGTGTCTCAGAGCCAGTCTGGTTTATTCTCAGTCTGCTCAAGTGAGATGCGAGACAACAAGGCTGTTGGTATCAAGATAAGTACAAATAGTGTGAAATCTCCTTCTAATGTCAGAGATTGACCTTTGTAAAAGAGCCACTCACATTCTCTGGTTAGTGTTTATTGTTGGAGAGACAGCAGATGTTTGACAGAGTCTGTCTTTGCATTGTATGAATCATTGTTCATTGTATTAAAAGCAATACAACTCAATCTGAGTCAGTACCACAGAGGGATCAGAACACTGCCTCACTGTCATCGAGCATTTCAAGAGTTCATAAGATTGACAAACAGGAATATAATCTTAGTCAAATGGATTCCGTGGATTTAAATATCAATCAAACTCTTTCCAGCAAGATTACATTCCCAGCAATTACATTTGAACTATTTCTGTCTGGTCCTTCGCAATTTTTTTGCCTCATCTGGGTGTTTAGAATTCTCTGTGTTGTATCTTTGAACTGTTTCTCAGTTTACAAAATGCTGACCTTAAATATCAGATGATGCGGAGGGTTGGATACAAGATCTTTCACTGCCTTGGGAGGAGGACACTAATGGCTTAGCTGAAGGCTGTAGAATAAACTCACATTGGAGCGATCAGTCACACTAGTGTGGAGCATACTAATACGTTGGGGCATTTTGAGCTCAAGAAAGAAGTGGTGTTGGGTCTCTTGAAGAACATTCATGTGGTTATGTCCCCAGGGTCAGATGGTATCTACCCCATTATTGAGAGAGGCAAAAGATGAGATTGCTGGGGGCTTGACCAAGATCTTTGTACCCTCACTAGCCACTGGAGAAGTCCCAGAGGACTGGCGAGTAGCTAATGTTCAAGAAGGGGCATAGGGATAATCCAGGAAACTATAGAACGGTGGATCTCACTTTGGTGGTTGGGAAGCTGTTGGAGAGAATTTTTAGGGATAAGATATATGCACATTTGGAAAAGCATGGCCTGATTACAGATAGTCAGTGTGGCTTTGTGTGGGGTGGGTCATGTTTTACTAACGATTGAATTTTTCAAGGAGGTGACAAAGGTGATTGATGAGTATAGAGGAGTGGATGTTGTCCACATGGATTTTAGGGAGGCTTTTGACAAGATCCCTCATAGTAGGCTCATCCAGAAGATTAAGATGCATAGGATTCATGGTGACTTGGCCACTTGGATTCAGAACTGGTTTGCCCATAGAAGGCAGAGGGTAGTGGTGGTAAGGTGTTTCCATGGCTGGATGTCCATGACTAGTGATGTTCCACAAACTGTCCCATGTCCCAGGCCCCACCCCACACACCAGGCCCTGTTACCACATAGCCTGCCACTACACACCCTCTGTTGTTAGTCACTAACAGTCCCCATTAACAACTACTCACCCTCCCAGCCTGATTATTAGCAACTCCTTTGTCTGTCCAACTGTCTTTCTCTCTCTTTGGGCTCTATCTTATCGTTTACTCCCTACCCCACCCACCTCCCTATTTTCTGCATATAAACTGACATTTTCCCAGCCACCATCAGTTCTGAGGAAGGGTCACCGGACCCGAAATGTTAACTCTGTTTTCTCCTTCACAGATGCTGCCAGACCTGCTGAGCTTTTCCAGCAACTTTGTTTTTGTTCCTGATGTTCCACAAGGATCTATACTGGGACTTCTGCTACATATATTAATGACTTGGATGGAAATGTAGATGGGCGGGTTTGTAAGTTTACAGACGATACAAAGATCGGTGGAGTTGTGGTTAGTGCAGAAGGTTTCAAAGGATACAGCGGGATATAGATCAGTTGCAGATACGGGTGGAGAAATGGCAGATGGAGTTTAATCTGGGTAAGCGTGAGGTGCTGCACTTTGGGAGATCACATGTTAAGGAGGAGTGTACAGTTAATGATACGACCCTGAACAGCATTGATTATAGAGGGATCTTGGGGATCAAGACCATAGTTCCCTGAAATTGGCGACACAAGTAGATAGGATGGTGAAGAAGGCAATTGCCATGCTTGCCTTATTGGTCGGGGAATTGAGTACAAGACTCAGGATGTCACGTTGCAGCTTTATAAGACTTTGGTTAGGCCACAATTAGGATGTTGCATTCTATTCTGGTCACCACATTACAGGAAGGATGTGGAAGCTTTGGAGAGGATGCAGAAGAGGTTTACCAGAATGCTGCCTGGATTAGAGGGTCTGAGCTATAAGGAGAGGCTAGAAAAACTCGGGTTGTTCTCTCTGGAGCGGCAGAGGCTGAGGGAAGGCTTGATAGACGACTGTAAAATTCTGAGATGCATAGAAAGGGTTGATGGTCAGAATCTTTTATCCAGAATTGAAATGTCTAATACTAGGGGGCATGCATTTAAGGTGAGGGGGGAAAGTTCAAAAGAGATGTGAGGAGTACGTTTTTTAACACACAAGCATGGTAGGACTCTGGAGCATGCTGCCAGGGGTGGTGGTGAAGATAGATACCATAGGGGCATATGAGGGACTTTTAGATAAGCACATGAATATGCAAGGAATGGAGGGATATGGACCACGGGCAGGCAGAAGGGATTAGTTTAATTTAGCATTATGTTTGGCACAATATCATGGGCCGAAGGGCCCATTCCTGTGCTGTACCGTGCTATGCTCTATGACCGAAGCAATTACAACAGTTAAGGTGTGTCTGAGAGCTCAGTATTTGACATTTTTGTGAACAGACCTTAGATGCTTGAATGGCTTGGTACTTCAGGCAGATGTCACTGGAACCTGCTTATTGTGTGAATAATGTGATCCAAACTGAGCAGGAATGACCAGAGTCATACTGTGCAATACTGCTGATGAGTTAGCAAGTGGACTCTGATTGGTAGAGGCATTGCCGTGGTGAATATGTGAGTTAGATGATGACTGACAGTTAAGTGCTAGAAAGATTATTGCAGAACCCAGAACTGGGCACAATTCTTCAGTTGAGTCTGATCCAGTGATTTATCAAAATCTCCCGTTTTTTTTGTACTCTTCTTCCTCTTTTTAATGCCCAGGATTCCATCTGCCTTCCTACCCACTTGCTCCACCTTCAGAGGCTGGTGCACATAGACTCCGGATCTACCTATAAATGACCTTTGTAAGAAATTGCACTGTGGCTCTCAATGACTCCTCTATTAAAAAGATGCTAAGTGATCTCAAGCAAACTGTTTGGGGTTAGAATATGTGGCTCAGGTGTAACATGCAGCCCCATCTCATTGCATTGCTATCGTCTTTATGTTGTTCGAATAATTAAGAGTTACTTGGGTCGCATTCACTTTTCCTGTCTCGTGGTTCGGAATGGTGAGAGCTGCACTGTCACAGGGTCAGCACTGAGGGAGTGTCGCAGTGTCAGAGGGTCAGTACTGAGGGAGTGCTGCACTGTCGGAGGGTCAGTACTGAGGGAGTGCTGCACTGTTGGAGGGTCAGCACTGAGGGAGAGCTGCACTGTCAGAGGGTCAGCACTGAGGGAGAGCTGCACTGTTGGAGGGTCAGCACTGCGGGAGTACTGCACTGTCGCAGAGTTAGTACCAAGGGAGTGCTGTACTGTGACAGGGTCAGTCCTGAGGCAGTACTGTCCTGTCAGAGGGTCAGTCCTGA